ATATATTGCCAATTTGTCTACACCTCCTCATTTTTTTATGGAGTGGGTCGGCTAACGAACAAACAAATTACTTGATGGTAAAGAATCCCTGCCGCCTATGGACACCCACAGCACCAAAGGAGTTATGAATGCAGCCGCAGTGTTACCGGCCTTTTAGGGGATAAAGGATATTTAAGGATTGTGAAGGAAGGGGGTGGAGTTTGGGATTGGGCCTCCTGTAATCTCACTCACATGGCATAACACAACGCTATGGTTGTTTCACGCCGGTTTTCTGTGAGGCCGCACCACTCCGGTCGAGCCGACCCATTCAAGCTTGGCTTTCCCAAAAATAATGTTTGGTTAGTTACATTTAACCTTTAGACTATATTATAATAATTTTGGTACATTGCAACCTAGTCTTCTTGAATTCGTTACGTAATATGTATAGACATAATATTTACTATATGTTAGATAAACCGGTTAATAGATACTCAGGCACTACTTTCAATGCTTAAACATCCAAGCCAGTCCATTCATGTGAATTATGACCCTGTAATGCATCGGGCTTCACTATCTCGATCTGTTTTCACTTATATGCTAGCATTACTGTGGATTCTATTTGGTTACATCATGAGTTGCAGTAGCTAGAAATGTCTCACGGATTTCCCATTATGTAGTAACTCCCTATAAGTATATATATGTATATATCAAGGCAGAATAAGATTGAAATATCAAGACCATGCGTAACAGCTTCGAATATTTTACATATTAATTCGTAGATATTGATAGTATGAGCAGATTCAATGTTCTATTTACGTCTCGTAGGATCGACTCAGTAGGTATAGTTTATCAAAAAATGGCCGGTAGCCAGATTGTTTTCGTTAAAATCATTCACATTCCCACAAAGCTGGTTCACAAAATATAGGGCACTGTTAAACTAGAACATCGTGTGCTTGCCAAAATTGGAAGATTCGAGACTAATGATCATAATTTATGATTACATGAGCCACTTCTGTCTTGACCCTAAACTCTGACCTCTACCTATTCGGCAAATTAAAATAATGGATTCAATTGGTCCTCTCTAGATTCGACTCTAGTCTTAGAAAACGGTTCTTTTTATAGCCGCAGAAATATTTTGATTAAAACCTAAGTACTTACTGCGCCTTATTACAAAACTATCTACACATCACACTAATTCATATTGTTTATTATTTTTATTGTATTTCTCTGTTTCGGAAGCATCTGACTAAATATCCTTTTGTTGAAAAGTTTATAAAACATGTAGATACAATATATATTAAAGGTACTTATAACAACTCAACCAAATAGGCTACAATACAAGTTGTTTGCTGAATTTATTTTCCATTTACTGTCTAGTTCATTCGTTCTAAGTGCATTATTGCGTCTCTCATTGTAATATAGTTACTAAATGGCTTTGATTACTCGAATCAAAGTAGTCTTATCGGATAGAGCCGCGTTAATTACTCTCATTAATTCAGCTAGTTCAATTTCATGCGGAACTGACTATGTTTACTACAGTATGGATGACTGGACACAGTATTGACAGTGTGGCTCTACCTCTCCACGGGAACCTAACTGTTTTTAATGTGAATATCTAGCCGTGATTTCAGTGCTTATCATGTGCCAGAGCAGTGTTTAAACTATTTTGTCATTATGTATAAGTTCTAACTATTATCCGTGAGATAGCATAGATTTGGTAAAGGATAGTTACGTTTCAATCGCTACGGGAACAGATTATGTTTAGACATCTCACTGAAAACCGGGAAGCTATTGTGAAGATAGACAAATCACAGATGTTTGATGTTAGATATGATTCAAGAATGTGCTTCAATTGTATTATTACTCGTACAAATTAGTACGTTGTCTATAAACACATTTGAAATTCCTATTTATAATATTCGAGGCAAACCGCATTCTTTACTAGCAAACCTGGAAAAGACTCAGAAAAAATTTTGTTTATTTGCGAACTGCAATGCTCTGAACACCTTGTACGATGTAATAGATAGTTTGAATAATAAAAGGAATATTGGAGAAAGGTTGTTAAATAACTTGAATGGAAGACCGTATAACATACTTCGCAGCCTTAACAACGATGTAAAGCCCCCTCTAGCTGAGGTGCAACCGGCATTCAGAAGGTTATACTCGGCGAAACCTAACCCAGTGTATAATAATTTAAGGTCATTGCCGGACTGGTTTACCCCAATGGCTGCTGGTAAGACTTTTCCTGTGCATAGCCCTGCAACAGCTAAATTAACACCAAAACCTGAAATGAAGCTTAATATCAACACTCACTGGAATGCACTGCAGCAGCACCTCACTGGTCCTATCAGGTGGAGTACAACAGCGCTACCTACACTCGTTAATAACCCGAGTAATGTGCCACACAATCAATTGCCATTAAAACCGCCAACAATGACGGCTGTAACTGATGTTTCACAACAAGTTATTGCTCAAAGCAAAATGTCTCCCATCGAAAAATTCACGCAAGGCCTAGATCACTTTGAACGACAATTTTATAAGGTAAGTGTTTCTGTTATTAATGACCTAGCATTTTTTTTTAATATAGATGCCATTGTTGGTACCCTAAATAAGCAATTGTTTAAAAAAATAGGATATAAAAATTGTTCAGAGATTTAAAAAAACCAACAGATCTCTACTAATTGAGAGATGGTAGGTACAGCGAGACTAGTTAAAAAATAATCTGCGAGAGGTATAAGTTTACCAAGTAATAAAAACTTCTCAAGAATTCGTTAAGGCATTGTTCAATAAGTTTAATAATTAGGTACCCTATCTGAGCGGTTTTTTGGTGCAACAATATTGGAATTAGAAACATATCTATCTTACTAAGTGGCGTAGGTTTAAATGTAAGAATATAAATTATTTCACGGAATCAAATCCAAAAAAAAAACAAGTCACAAGGAAATGGTCTGTAGAGTTCACCACTTTTTAAAACCATATTTTATTTTCACTTATTTCATAGTTAAACTTGACCCATCACGTTTCACTCGGGTTTTTCGTTGTTAACTGTAATTAGGAACTTCAGTCACGAATTCTCGCTTGTTGTTTAGCAATAAATATTTACCGAGTGAATTAGTTATCCTAAATATATTTATGTAGTTGTATAGGTACCTAATGCCGTCGTTATTATTGCTGTGTATAGGTACATATAACAATGTGATTAGGTACATTAAATAAGTGAGTTACTGTGACCAACGTATAAGCATAGTCGTTTGTTATTGAAACCGACTTCAAGCTAACAGATTAAATTCGAACATATTGTACGGTTATCAAATCGATTTCAAATTGGAATTCATTGTGATAACAAATGGAATTAACCGATTTTAAGTTTGCCTGTTCTTGTTGGTCATTGAACTGAATGTAAATATTTAATTTGTAGCTATTGCGGTGCTTAGGGATGGCTCGCCCATAGTTACGATGCTCCAAACAAGAAATACTACAGTGCCTAAATGATTAAAAATAAGAGCTTCATACTCCGATGTAGTTTATTAGTTATAGACTGATATTCTATAACTTCTAAAACCCTAGTCGACCGTAAACGTTTTCGCGCCTGAGTTATTTGGTCTCTCCAGAATGTGGTCGAGATCTTCGCATTCCATCTTATTTTGCACTCAAAATTGTATATGTATTGATATTCAGGGCAAACAGGAGAGGAGTCATAATTGAATCGCGCTTTATTCTAAAATTTACTTTGGACCGTCGCTGGTACTTACTGCATACATATAATTAGGTACCTATTATATAAATTACTCGCTGATTTCTAACGCACAGTTCAAAATTGCAGATTTAGCGAAACACTAGCTTACGCCCGCGTGGTATGTTGATGAAAAGTAGCCTATGTCCTATGCCGGAGTGTATTCTATGCCAGTGCCAAATTTCATCCAGATCCGTCCAGTGAACTAAGTTCTCGGAATATTTGCAGATTACGTTCGCGAAGCTTACGAGTATAAGTCCAGCAGATCGACAAGAAAATGGAATGAGTTTCGTACAATCTGGCTTCTTCCTATTATTAACTTTGATGGTTCTCTCGAAAGAAGTCGACACCGTTACCAGAGCTGAAATAGACCAATGCATTGGATTCAAAATTTCGGATTTGGTAGCTATATTTTTATTACTCTTATTAAAGTCTTTCTTCCGCCGCGGCTCCGCCCGCGTGGTAGATAAAAAGCCTATGTGTTAATCCAAAATATCACCTATTTACATACCAAATTTCAAACAACCGTCCATCCGTCTCCGTTTCCATACATTCTCACAAACATTATTAACTTTCACATTTATAATATTATTTAGGTGTCTTCAAGGCTAGAGTGAATAGGCTCTTAATAAACTAGTGCGCCTTACCATCAACGATTGCATCACTGCTTACCATCAGGTGGGATCGCAGTCAAGTACTAGTTAGTAGGATAGTAGGATGGGTCTCTACTGTGTGTACACAGTAAACTCATTTTCCAACATTAACTGTAATTTTCTCGTCAACACTATTAATAATTGCAGCATTGTTCTTCTAATAAGTCTCGTAACACAATGTGTTAAGGTTGTAACTAAGTTATTTCTTTTAACTTGATGTGAACTAATAATACCTATATGCCTAGGCAAGTTAAGAAGTCAGTAGATCATGTAGTCGAAGAAATAAGACATCAGAACAGAAGAAACAATAATAGTTAGGTATAGGCTGATATTTGTATTAAAACTAGACCATATATTAAACAGTGTTCAAAATTGGTTTAAGAAAGGTTAAATAAGTTGTTTATAGAAAAATAAAAACGTATAAATAGAACTTTAAATTAATAATCTTAATGAATAGGAGAGCGTTGGCTTAGTCAGACATCTTATATCAACGTTGCCGAGTTCCTCTGATAAGCTGACTTTGCGACACGGCTCGCGCCTGATGCTATGGCCAGGGAGACCCGAGCCACGCTTCCAAGGCGGCGCGGCCGCAGCCTTAAAGCTACGCGTGGAACGCTTCAATGGCACGGAAGCTACGGATACCATCGCCACCATCCTCAATAAAAAAGTAAGTCAGACAGCAATTATGTATATATGTATATCTGAAAATCATAACTACATGACCCTCCCTCAGAAGTGATTTGTCCTATTTTATATTTATTATGTATATTAGGTTATGTGTAAGTGTATAAGTTACATATGGGTACTTATGTGTGTGAAGTAAATGTTATAAAGGAAGGTACGATGAGGTTGTCATATCCTCTTGGACAAACGCTACTAAATAAAAATCGTGATTAAAAAATTACATGACCTTACCAAAGGTATCTGTTACCGCCTCCTTCTATATTATGTAGAATTGTAGATGAGGGACCGTTGTAGTACCTACTCGGTTCCACCCGCTGCTCGGCTCCTACAGATCATAGCGTGATGTTTTAGCCTATAGCCTTCCTTAGTAATTGGATTATCAAACACAAATAAAATGTTCAATTCGATCCAGCAGTAACAGAGATTAACGCGTTTAAACAAGCAAACTCTACAGTTATAATATTTAGTATAGATTTACCTCCGCCCCATCACCCTTATTAGCCATGGTAAGCAGACCTGTTATCTCTTCTCCCTATGCTCACGTAAACATTTTTCTATTAAGCTAATATTTTATAAATATACTAGCTAGTCTAGCGCGGTTTCACCCGCTGCTCGGCTCCATTTAATATTAGCGTGATGTTTTATAGCCTATAGCATTCAGGAACATTGTAGCTATCTATCAGTGAAAGAATTTTGGAGATCTGACCAGCGGTTCCAAAGATTACCCCCTACATACAAACTTACAAATTTTACCTCTTTATAATATTAGTATAGATTAAACTTTGGTTAATGGAATCAACATACCTAACACAAATGTTTGCTTTGCTATGCTTATAATACGTCTTACCTGCTATAGTGCCCAAACGAAACAATACTCGTACACTGATAGAGGTAATTAACACAATTTGCTCCTGACTGAGCGGTAATTCAAATTCATCTATTCAGATACTTGCAGGACTCCCCGATAATTAGTTGATTTACAAGCAAAGATAATGTGAGGGCTGCTATTCGAGTTAATAAGTAAATAACTACCGATGACGTAATCTTTATCCAAGATTTCCCCATTTACTTTGCTTATTTTGCCATGATTATATTTGTCTGGAGTAGTGGCTGGCAACTGACTGCTATGCATTGTGTCATGAATTCGATTCCCGCGCGGAACAACACGTTGTGTATTCCATAAATTTTTATATCGAGTCTAGGTGGTTTGTGTAGGTATGTAAATTTGTATGTTTGTAAACGAACCCATGACACAGGATAAAAAAACCTAGTGTGGCAACGTTATTTTTTTTAAACTAATGATTTTTTATATTAATCTTATTCAAAAAAAAAATACGCGTCGAATTGAGAACCTCCTCCTTTTTTGAAGTTTGTTAATAAGAAAAAGTAAAACATTTTTGCTTACGAAATACTTTAATGGCCTCCTGTAGTACGCCCACTTTCCTAAGTTATTAACCCCTTGAAATGAAAGTAAACATTTAATTCTTTGACCAAACATTATGTAAGTGCTAAAAAAAACTCAGAGTTAAAAAATATTATACATATAGAGATAATTGAGCAACTCATACTTCTCAACACAGGCGACCAGCGGCCGGTTCTGTTGGTCTGGGTTGCTACATCGACTCAAACTATCGAAATCTTTCAATTATTCAATATAAAGTCAATAACAAGTCGCACCATTGCTCTATCGATCCGACTATGAGAGTACCAACCGAGGTCATAGCGACGCATGATATACTACGAAACAGGATCGTAGCTGCGTACTACGCGTATTGTGCTACGACGCTACGATTCGACATCGTAGAGAGAGACTACGACCCGAAAGTGTAGCAGCGTACGTAACTGCGATCGTAAAGTTTACTATAATGCTCATGAAACTCGTATTATGGTAGGAATTGACTGCACGGTTGGCGCGGTGGCTGGGCAACTGGCTGCCGCGCAACGTGTCGCGGGTTCGATTCCCGCACGGAACAACTCTTTGTGTGATCCACAGATTGTTGTTCCGGGTCTGGGTGTGATGTGCATGTGAAATTGTATGATTGTAAACGCACCCACGACACAGGAGAAAATCCTAGTGTGGGGCAACGTTTATTTCTAAATAAAAAAAAAAAAAAAAATTAGTAAAAAAAAAATTATTATTCCGTTCTACATCATACTTTTCACTGTGAAGGTGGAATTAGACTCCGGAGGCGCGATGCACGATACTTTTGACGAAGGTGATGTATCGGGTGGTGTTGCCGCGGTATTTATTACCACCCTTTACATGCGCGGGCGCTGGCGAACCTCCCCCACTGTTCTCAACGGCACGCTGCCTTTCCACGACGCAGACGCCGCCCCCAAACGCACGGTGCGCATGATCAGGATCAACGACATCATGAAATATGCAGACCTAAAGGATTGGGATGCTCAGGTAAGTCATCAAAGAAGATATCGTGTTTTATGTATTTATTTATATTAACTTTTGATTAATACAGAAATAAGGAATGTTAATGAAGTTAATTACTTTGGCACAAAGTTATTAACGTGGTGATGTAATAAAAATTAGTCGTCGTGTGGAATGTAGGTGCCAACTAGTATAATATAAACGAGGACGATTACCATGAAATTAATTCTGTTCAATATAATAGCAAATTGTACCCAGTCGAATGTGACAGGCGGCTTGTCAGACGTTATATCAGAGCTGTTGCCGGCCAGTTCTTTTGTATCCATCTCACTTGGGTCAAATTCTGTGAAAATAACATACTTGCCTGGACCATTGGCCACCAACCGGTTCACTGACACTATAAAACTAGGTGCTGGTACCTTTCGTCGCCTCAAATACATTAAAAATATGGTTTCAATGATCCCAACCAGTGTCACTATCATCGAATCGCGAAGGAACAGTAATATGATCGGTGTGTCCGCACTGTGCTTGGGAATATCATAACCGATTTCTGTAAGAAACATGAAATGTCCGTACAGACTGAAGCAAATCAACATGAGCCGAGTGTTGTCTTTGGCGTCCATTGCAAGCGCCACCAGAGTCAGCAGTACTATCACAATGGAAGGCACCACCACGATAGCGGCTGGTCCCGCAGCTATCCTCTTCAGTACGAAAGTATATTTTAGCATCGGATACGTGCTATTCGGACAACAGCTATACTTTCCTGGTAAACGTTCGTTTACCACGTTCAGTAGTTTCCAGCCTGGACCATCCTGATAATCATCCTTTACTATGGGTTGTTTATTGTAAAAGGTGAAGTTGACTTGTTCCCCAGTGTTCATCCATGATCCAAAGTAAAGTGTGCAGTTTTGTACATCGTAAGGCCAGCTACGTAACGACGTGCGGCAGATCCCGGAGTGAGCGATATGAGGCACGCATGTCACAACGCCCTCATTCGACACCATACAAGTCGTATAGATCTGGTCGGACTGGTACATAGAGGCATCGGCGTTGAACAACGCCATTCTCGGCGTCCAGATTTCATGACTCTCCATTTGAGTTTCTTTTATATCACCATAATCTTCAGGTCTCCAAGATAAAAATTCGTCTTTCCACATCATAGCCACCCAGCTATGCAAAGTAAACGTTTCTTCTAAAGAATCGAAGCTAAGATATTTTATTGCGAATCTTACTTTCACTGTAAGAGCTTGTTTGTGATCCTTCACTGGCCGGAAGTCGTAATTATACGCGCAGAGCAAATCCTTGTGGAGTTTGGCTTCATTATGCGTAGCTTCTTCTCGTTCTGGTGGGCAGTCACACGTTACAAAGGGTACAGTTAGAGCTAATAGTGCACATAGTGCGTAGAAGGTACCGCGCGGCGCCATGCTCACAGCAGTTATGAAAGCTCTCATCAATAGAACCCAATACAGTTTTGATGGAAACCTAATACTGTGAACCGCCCCCTGCGATAAATGTTGATACCAACATTTTGCAGATGACATCTGTGGCATGGGACCCATTATTCTATTTAGTATTGTGTTATTTGTAGATAATGTATATCTAAAACCTATACCTATTATTAATAGATATTGTTCTTATCACCGATTTATGTAGGTCTGTATCCATTAGCACGTAACACCGGGGCACTGTAGGACATCCCTGCCTCTAAAATAACTAACCTTTTAAGTAGATAACGATTTATTAATTAACAAGTTCTTACTAACAATGAGTCCAAACCTGTTAGATGTGTTTACTAGGACCTAGGTAGCCCAAAGTTTCATCGTGTTGACCATGAAATTCCATCATAAAACCAGCTCGACGATACCATTCCATTACATTATGTCCTCAAACCTGCATACAACTGCCAAGTTTTATGAAGGTATAACTATTAGAAGTGTGTGTCATTCAGATTCCTTATTTTATAACGTTCATTCGTGAAATCGTGACATACAGACCGACCTAATAAAAGCGTGTAAATGAATTCAAGACGTGCATCTACACTATATTTTGTTCATATATCTATATTTCAGGCCTTGGAGATTTCTTACGCCACACCAGGTCTCACCCTCCTTATGTTAGTACCTCGAAGTACCTCATTGAAGAAGCTGGCGCAACACGTCAGCAACACGAGCGTCGGACATATAATGTCAAAGATGAAGACAATGAGAGTGGCCGCCACTATACCTATCTACACTCTTCGGATGACTTTACTTCTGCCTAACAAATTGCAGGCAGTAAGTAACAGTTTAAGTACCTAGTTTTTTACTATAGACATCAAGTGCTTATTGTACAACTTCGTGGTCGGCCGTCGTTAGAGTGCCCACTTCTCATGCTAGAGGGTGCGGGTTCGTAACCTAACAAGTAGGTACCTACCAATGTGACTTTTTCCGAGTTATATTTACTTTGATAATTTACCACTGATCACTGCCTTACGGTGAAGGAAAACATCGTGAGGAAACCAGGGGCCCGAGTCTACTATTTTCAAAGTGTTGTCATTCCTACACGATTCCATTATCATTTTGCTAAAAGTTCGTAAGTAATTTGTTAAAATGGCTGATCATTGGCGTTCGGCGATGTCGTAATAGAATTATAGTACGAGATGACGAATTATAAACAATAACTGCACATAAATATTCTAAACGAAAATCATTGAATAAAGGAACTGTATTTTTTTTATTAATTTACCGCATTATGTTAAATATTCATTTGTCATTAAGTACGAATTTTGAAACCAATGATCTACTATTCTGACACTATTGTAACAGCAGACTCGAGGCCCTGGACTTATAAAATCTAATCATTATAAGCGGAAATCGCCTATGTAAAAGTGCTTTTTAGTGACTTGGTGATAGTTTCGTCGGCTTCTTTAGTTTAGCTTACAGATAATAGTGCAAAAACCAAGTTTTTTTACCAATAAGTATACCAATAGGTATGTAGTAATACTTATAGTACGTGGATAATAAGCACTAATTGTTATTATACATAGATATTTAGCATTTATTACCTCTTTATCTTTACTACTTTTATCTGTATACTCAATCCGGCTATTGCAGTCATAATTTTATTTTTTTTTATTATAAAGTTAAGGCAAATAAAATCATTACCTACTTTTAGTCAAAACTGAACTATCTTTTAGTTAATTAGTACTAGATGTTTCAGGTACTCATGGTAAACCAATAAACAGAATTCATAATTATACGTAGACACTTTAGATTCCTCGTGGGACATCTAGGCGATTAGCGACATAGCTACATACGTACGTATCATTGGTACTTATTCAATAAAAGACAACTATTTGTCAGATGGGAATACCGAGACTAGTGGACGTGAATAACGTGACGGATACTCGGTCTCTGAGACTATCTCACGCCGTGCAGCGCGTCATGTTCTGGGCGGAAGCGGGACGACACGCTTATAAAGATGATGGTGAGTTCCTGTTAGGTTTACTATTATCTACATAATTAATATACTTATGTAAGTAGGACTAATACGTACTAGTATATACTTACACATAGGCCTACCTACGTGACCTTAAGATCTCCGTCATAAAATAACTGAAGACCGCCTAGGTGTTAGGTCATAGGATAAAATGAGTTGATTAGGTATACCTACCTATACCTATAATCGTGTAGTAGTGGTGTAGGTTTCAATGAAAAATGATAAAAATGTTCATGGATCCCTATCCATGAACATTTTTGAGGAAACCTACACTTCCATGGACAACTCTTTAACATTATTTATTTATCACAAAATAAATGTCAATAAGTGGCGGTCAGTGTGGTTATACTACATACATTACACCGCTCCAGATAAGCCACCAATCAATTAGCTATTATCTCTGATGCTATCGCTGTATGAAACTATAATATATAGGTGCTGTTTAATAACTAAATTACAACTTTTTCCAGGCATCGAATGGGACCAAAAACCACAATTGGAAGTGATTGCAAACCGGCCTTACATATTTTTTGTACGTTGGCGCAACGTCACACTTTTGAATGGAAATTTTGTGTTGTAAAATCAAATAATTATAATATTTTTTAAACATAACGGGTTCTTTTTATTATTTTAATTTAACGTTATAAATATAAAAAGCAAAACGATTTGTTTATTGTTGCCGTTGCTCAGTAATTCCTCTTTGTATTGTGTGAGTAGCTGGCTGCGTACCGCTGCTGCCTCCTAAAGTCCTCATGGGGCTCGCAAAGTAGGCGTCCACGTGTTTGTACAGCAATCCCACTACGGTGGAATATTGCGCTCAGTTCGGTTGAAGAGGGCCAGTAGGGGGCACGCGCGAATGCGGCCGCCGTTTCTCCGTAGCAATCGCGTATCATCAACACTTCACTTCCACGGCGACCAAACAACGTCCATTGATCTGCACTATGGTTTTGTAACGTATATTCGCCTGTTGATAGATGGGTACATTTAAAAAAAGATAATTCCTAGTATCTTCTAACTTATGCACTACTTAGATAAGTACTCAATGAAATCATTAATAAAAAATAGGTACCACATTCTTAGCAAATAGTAAATTTTGCATTCTAGTAACTCAAATACAAAAATTGGTAAGTACTCATTACAAAATTCCGTTAAACCGCTGGTGAATCAGCGTGATAACAGCATATCTAAGAATTTGCATTGAGATAAGACGCTTACTTATCTCGTAGGTACTTACTCAGTACCTACTCACCCAATTCATGTCTTACTTTAAATCAACAATATAAGATACAATATTTAATTTCGTATTTTTAAGTGTAAATACTAAGAAACCACTTTACCGTTTTTATTCTCCGTTATGATGATATTTTCCAAGAGTCCTGATTCTGAACCGTTACCCATAAGGAAGTGCTTTCCCGCCAGTGTCTCCACTTGCAAGAGACAAAGGTTCCAATCCACTCGGCCACCGAACTCCCCATACTTTATTATGTATTGTTCACGCTCCTAAATAAACACCATTTACATAATTACAAAGTGCGCATTAGGTCAATAATTTTGCGGGATCCACATCTAGAAACTTATCGGTAGGTATTAAATAGGTAAGTTCCTACAACCTATAAATTGATAAGTTGATAGAGTACCTATTTATAATTTTTGTAATATCTTAACACAATAATAATGAGGTAACAAACTGAATCATTTCTAAATCTGATTAGGTACCTTTATCTTAATCTGAGAGATAAAACTTTACTGGAATAATTAGGTAAAACCAGTATAATGCAGCGGCACTCAAAATGGACACGTTAATAAAAATTGGCGACAACTTAGATCCAACGAAGGAATAAATTATTACAAAACCGTAAGGATAAAACTAAAGGTAGCCTACCAAGTCAGTAGTTGCTCTAACTTGAAATTTAAAGCAATCTACAGCTTTGGGTTGTGTGTAGACTGTCATCCAGCGTCCAACCACGTCGAGTATGTTCAAACTAGGCCCCTTTCTGTATAAGGGACAAATGTCGTATTTCGATATGTTGTACGTTTGCACTAGATTATCACTCGCCCCAAATAGAACTGCCAAATTAATGTACCACTTAATATTCATTATTCAAATATAACTCGTTTACCCGCGGAGTCTGCCACGAATAAGTAAAATTGTCATCAGAACCTCTCGACGAGATACTCTTGTTATGAGAATATTTTCTAAAATAAATCAATATTTAAGTATTCTTTAACACGCTTCAGTGAGATATTACTTAAGATTACCAAACAAATGATAAAAGTGTTTAATAATACTGCACATCCCGTACTTTCTTACTCTCCATTATTATTTTAGCAATGTCTATGTACATGCATATGTGTACATATCTGTCGTATTTTTGTGTTAAGGTTCTGAGTGGCTTAATGGCGCACATTACAAATGTTAATGAAGTTTGATGGATGAATTATTATTTGATTTAGTAACAAGTTCATATTGGTGTGTAATGTTATATTTTATTTTTATTTACAGAATATCAGTACGCATATTAAATATTACAACAAGAATAGCTACGATAATACAGTGCCATAGATGCGCTAACAGCCAATAACAATCTACAAGCAAATGCAATCTATGCAGGAAGCCCTGGACGAATATTTTTTTAGTTTTTCGGTTTATTAATACATAGTAGGTATCTATAAATACATCAATCGTTGAACTATTCGTACTATAGGAGTATAATTGTAAACTAGGTATCATTAAAAATCTTACGCGTGAAACAAGTTTCGATAAAGTCACACAAAATAATATTTACATGAATATACATAGGTACATGTTGATTAATTTATATGGCCTTTTACAAGTTTAATCTCTAAATTAACAATATTTAAAATCCTAGTCACCATCACCAATTTTTTTAATCTACGGCAAGAATTGGATTAATTAACATTTTATATAAACATTGATTAATAAAACAATGTTGCGATGTATAATATATTTTAAAATGAAAATTATAATAAACTTTTATAAGAAACGTATAAAAATATTTAAAAATAATGAATAATAACTTTATTTAGGCTTACATCTGTACCTATGTTCATGTTGGTGGTTATACGAGTACATTCCTCTTTTCTCTTACAAATAATGTTAGACTAGTTGTAAATACTTCATGTGTATTTTGGAATACTGCTTCCTGGAAACAAGAAGAAATATATTAAAATTATTATGAGTTTTCAAAAAGTACGGGTTTGTCAGCTTAAAAATACTAATTAAAATGAGAGGTGTTATTTCAATAATAGATTAACATTTCTTATGTAGATTTTATTTAATTGAAAGTTTATAAGTGTAGTTACATTTTAACATTCTTATTCCTTGACATTGTCGTTATAAATACTCGTTGACTAGTACCATAACTTTATAATATACACGAGACATAACAGTTAGTCCATTTCCCTGCTCGAACTTGCGTGAGCCATTAGAACATTAATTAATTAAGTTTTATCATTTTCGAACGGGTACAACAACAACTACAATAATTTACAATATCACACACATTTGAAACTAATGCAATATAATAATGTCATATTTAGTTAAAAATTCAACAGTGTAATATTCAAAATGTGTAGCTTAAATTTTTATTAAAAATTTTGTAAATCATTAGTTGCCGAACTGGCCGTGGTTTACGAGTCGATATTACTAACTTCTCTATTGTCTATACATATAACAAACGATCGGTTTCCTTCGCAATAGTATTCTTATCATACATAATAGAAGCATACATTTATAAGCAATAAGAAAGATTAGGTAATTCCCTTGTATACTAGGTACACGAGTCTGCAAAAAGGGTGCTATAATACAGAGCACGATACAATCGTACTACAACGCTACATGTATAAATGTTCTCGTTGCCAAAGCTTTATAATAATATCCGTATTTTAACTGGAAAATGACATCAAAATTATAGTTCATAATTTGCGAAGAAATCCTAATTTTAATAAACACTTTATCGAGTACAAATAAAATGTCCTTAATTAAACAATTAAAGCTCACAAAATCCTATTAGGAAAAACAGTAATCAATGCTAGAATATTATGTAAAGACGAAACTGTAAGTTCTGAGGAAGAAATGTTGACCAATACGCCTAGTCTTCCGTTTCTACCTTATAAATTATGTCATAAGCTTAGTTTTGGTCGACAACTAGCTATTAATGCTAAATAATTTAGCTTATGATATAAAATAAACATTGAAGAGCTAATTTAAGCAATTACAAAATATTATTAAGATACATAGATATTTTCGATTGATCAACGATGTACGAACATGAGGACGTCAAGAACAGAGAGTGATAGGAATCGAAGAGGCATTTTAAGGAGTTTAATACATAATGACATACGAGTAAAAATTACAATAATTTTTAGTAAGTATACAGTCATCTAAATGCGTCCGAGTACTTTTTCACTTATGTGAAAGTGATTTTTTGGGTCATTACAAATCAGCCTCATTATTGGTAAAATCTCATTTTACATAGTAAGAATAGAAACAAAGAAAGTTTTATGGTAGTAGAATATTGTAGCAGTTAAAAACAAGATTTGTACCTACTTAAAACAAGTTAAACCATATAGTGATAGACTGACCCAAATTTAACCATGGTAAAAGCCAAGTAAATTTAGGCCACCTATGTATTATTCCAATACGGTACTTACGACTTCCCGGTGACGTTAAAAGTATTTCTATTGCTATACAGCACACTATTAATGGCCAGTCTCAAAAGCTGTTGATGGATTACGCTACTAGAAACAGACTTTGTGTTAAAAAAAATCTTTATTATAATTTACTTTACCGTCATTTATACATATTATTAGGATTGAGATAGGCTAAAGGTCAACTAGACATACTTAAAACTGAATAATAATGCTATGTACGTTCGAAACCGCATAAATCATATTATTTGTTTGGTCAATCATCTTTTGAATACAAAATTGAGAATAAAAATATCGCCCTTACCACTTATACCTATTTTGTCATGGACAGATTTATAATATATTCAGTCATAGCATGACCACATTTCATGGTAATAAGGATGTTGACAGAGCACGAAAATTAAACATCTACCTACTTTATCCATCGCACAGATAAATATATTTGACACGTATGTTGTATTGTCTTTAAAATAAAAACCCACTTATGTATAAAACATGTTAAGGTTTAGGAAGGAGTGGAATGAAATTTTAATTATCATCCAATATATATCAATCGCCCAAATGTTTCTTCTTTAATTCAAGTTGCAATTTACTTTGGAGAGATACAGAAAAAAGAAAAGGATGGCAGTTAAAGATGGCAAATCAAGTAGCTTTAGCTAGTCTGCAATAAAATCTTTTCGCTACCCTGGCAAATGAAGTTAATTATCTAATTGTAAAAAAATACACCCTTTTCTGTAACAGGTGCTTTTAAAAACATAACATCCGCATGATACCCAGACCCGGAACAATAATCTATGGATGAATCAATGAGTTATTCCGTACGAGAAAAGAACATTTTACGCGACGATGTTGCGTAGCAGTCAATTGCCCAGGCAATGCGCCAACCGTGCAAAGTACATTATTGTATAAATATTGATTTTTAAATTTTAGCCTAGTGTGTGTAATATTCTTTCTTTGACAAAGACAAGTAATTAAGGTTCATTATTTTAAAGTTGTGAAACAAAAAAAATTATGCAACATTCATACATGTTTAGATTTGGTACAATCTATAAAAATACCAAAATTATAACAATATACATATCATCATATCTTAGTGGACATAGCGAGAGCTCGCAACTAAAATCAACTATAAATTTACAGTGCCACCTATTAAATCAAAAAGCCCTACGAGTTGACAAATATTCTTTTGATGAATGAGATCACTACAGCATCTTCTAACGAGTTCCGGCCATGTCTGTAACTTTTAACTCAATTAACTGTGTCACTGTCCCTCCAATTAGAGGTATTTTTTTTTTGTAGTGGGATGACTGATGTTTAATTGAAATATATTTTACAACTATACTAAGTTGGAATGTCAGTGTAGGAAGGTATCAATCTTTCAACCGCAGATTAGAATCAGTAGCAACACCTGGGTAATGAGTCAAAATCACACCATAGCCACGAGCAGACTTTACATCACAATGCTATTTGTTGAAATCTACACTGCCAATTTACACTTGATTTAAAAAAATGTATGAAATAGAGCTATTGTGGATACTAAGGTAATAAGCTGTATCCTACTAAATTTCAATAAACATACTGATTAACTGTAGTCTTATTATTAAAATACTAATCCACACCTAAAGCTAAATTAAAATAGTCATCCACCTTTAAGCAATTAATAAGCAATGAGGCTTGATGTTTTTTGATCTATTTTAAATCTCATATGGAAATAGATATCCTGATTTACAATAGTGTCCTTGATTGATTATTTCGACCCCATATTAAACTGTTTGGCCATAAAGATTGTAAATGAATGATCATTGTATGACATTTGCATTAAAAGCTCTAGTATATATTATGAGGCCTATCATGAATAGATAAATAGAAATATTGCTAATTACATCCAAGTGATTATCTGTTCTGTATCTTTATTATTATTGCAATGTTAAAAAAAGTAAAATGGTGTGTAGGTATACAAACAAAGTACAAAGCTTTTCTTTGTAGAATAATTTGAAAGGCTTACTTAGTATACAATAATATGTAATATGCATTCTAACAATAACATGAAGAGAATAAGGTATATACACCAGAAAATAACTATAATTGGGCAATATTCAATACTGATTTTTTGCCACTAACATTCTCTTGACTAAATGGAAGTCTCATAAATTTAGATTTTGTAAAATACTGCCAGCTTATATACTACAAAGCACTTTCAACTACAAAATATTAGTCCAAGAACTATTTTTACTCTTATTTAATACTTTAAGGCCAAATTGAAGTACTTCATAATATATTATTATTTAATGATGGACAATCTAGATTCTGATATACAAGAGCAGTGGGAAAAGACCAGTACCAACCACTAATTGCGAAAATGAATCAAGCATGGAATGAATTATAATTAATGGTGCATGTATAGGCATCTTAATATAATGTTTTATTCCATTACATTACACTAAAATCACGATTAGGGGTTACTGTGATGGTATTGTTTTGTCTTGTTTTATGCAAAATAAATAATTAATTACTTTTATCATTTTCAAAGATAATGAAATTTGTGTACGGACATTTTATTACCATCATGAATTAATTCAAACCTAAATATTATACTCTTGTGTTATTTTTTTCATGTTCATAAGCACTCAACTCACTTTGTAAATTGTTATTTTCATCTTAAACTGAAATCACTAATCACAGTATATCACCATTAGGTGATATTTGTAAATTGTAATCCAGCTATGATGAAAAAGTTAAAACATCAGCCTGCATTTACATTGTGAACAAACCTTTTAAAAATGTTCACTAATGCTATAATAATATACTAAGTTGTAATTTGGATGAACAACATAAACCTTTTTAAGATATATGTCTCAATAAATTAGGTTTAATGAATAGGAATTATCCAAGTGACAATATGACTGACTTCATAAATTAGTTATTTTAATTCTTAATAAATAGCAATATGGACACATTGATTCCATATTTGCAAGATTGTTGTGTACAAAGAATAAATTTACCAACAACCTTTACTCTCAATAGATATGAAAATATGACAAAATTCTTCACTGGATTGCTATTAATAAACTAATGCAACAGAAAAAATATATTGAAGATACTTAAAGGTACTTAAATAGGGGGTTGACATTTCAAGTGTTGGTTTGCTAGTTTAATTTGAAATTCCATAATTGACCCCACCTGTGTTCAAACCAGTGTTTTCTGAAGCTCCAGCAGGAGGAGGGGCGGGCATAGCAATGGGAGGCGCCTGATCACCCTTGGGGCGGCCTTCTCCACCCGGCTGCACAGTCACGGCTTGCACGCCATCTGAATCATCCCGCTCCAGTGTGTGATAATCACCAGACTCTTCAGGCGGACGTGGTTTACACTTGCCACAGCAGCAATTGCAACAACAGCAGAGACAGCAACAGAAGTAACATCCGGTCAAAATGCCGCAAACAATAAACAGGGCCTTGCACCAAGTGCTTGTCACTACGAAATAGGCGTTGACATTTTCTTCGCCGAATTGCTCAGCAATGTAAAGACCAAGAGATCCGTAATTATCATATATATTTCGTTTCGTGGCGTCGCTTAGAATAGTATGTGCACGATTTACTTCCTTGAATTTCTCGGCAGCTTCAGGATTGTTAGGATTTTTGTCGGGATGATATTTTAACGCTAATTTCCGATAGCTTTTCTTGACATCATCTTGAGTTGCCGTTTTTGGGACTTGCAGTATTTGATACAGGCTGTCCCCCGCAGTCGATAGCTTCCTTTTATCCATTTTAATAATCGAATATATTAAACAGTTTTATACAACGTGAACAAGAAATTATAATGCAAAACTAAGACAATCCGTAAAAATTACGAATTTACGATAATACGGACATCTCACTTGTACGTCGGGGTTGTCAGCTGTATAAATGAATGAAACATTAATAGTAACAGTTCAAATAGTTAAACAAAATGACTCGATAATCGAACTGTGAATGAATATATGATATTTTTTGTCACTCTAACAAATATAATATTGTAAGCACAAGAATATTGTATAAGATATTCTAGATTCTGATACAGATATTTCAAGCTCATATTATTGATATTATATGAATATACAGAAAACAGATCATCTGTCTGATATTATCATACAGATATGTTTTCAAATCATTACGATTCAAGGCAGTTCAGACCAAGACTGTGTGTACACTTTCAAAATGCAATTCTATATTCCAGCTGAAAACTGGTACATTTCATTGAGAATTCAGAATCCGTTGCGCCTCTCGAACTCTGATCCACTCATCATGACGAAGCGGTAGCGGTAGTGTCGGTAGGCGAGGTGTGCAAAACCGGACCTGTGCCTCACGAAACCGCGCGTTCTATGCTACAGTTCCTTGCGGCTGCAACAAATTGGTTTCCGAAAAGTAACAAATCAAAATATTGGAGGAAAATAGTATGAATTTATTGGGTTTTTTTATGTGCTAACGAGCAGTTCGATTGCTTGATGGTTAGCTAACAGTGCCGTCCATGGACACCCGCAAGAACGCAGGAGTTGCGAGTGTGGTGCCGACCTTTTTGGAGATTAGGGCCAGGGCCTAGAGATTTTTAGGTTGGGGTAGGGGAAGGATTGTGCCTTTAGTAACATCACTTACAAACAAAACGCTGTGGTTGTTTCACGACGGTTTTCTGTAAGGCCGTGGTATTATTCCGGTCGAGCTAGTGTGATATTTATATTGTAAATATTGACATTTTTATTTTAGTGCCACACTTAGCCCGGTAGTAGCTACTTAACAGTCATAATATATATAAGGTTTTAGTAGATTTTTTTATACTTTACTATGGCTACTGAGTACAACCGACAGCCGTCAGTTCGGTCCATCAAGTCAAGTCAATGTCACAAAGTTCGATTCCATCATCTGCATCTGCCATTGAGAACTTCATCTAATGAATTTGCTGCTAGCTGACCGCTGAAATATTAATTTTAGACGGTTATATATCATGAATTAAGTATTGGTGTAAATTTAAAGGTTAAATTAAGCTCATCAATAATTTTGTTTAGCAAAATTATAATTCCTAAGTCTACAGACAGATTCTGTGATGTCTCTAGCAAAAATGAAGGTTCGCGGTTTATTTAAGTTGTACCTAGATACTTTACAAAGAAGACCATACTTGGTACAAGCTGTGCAAACAGGAGTCTTAATGGGTTCAGGCGATTTAATAAGTCAGACCCTTATTGAACGAAAGCACATCACCAAAGTTGACCTTACGAGGACTATAAAATTTTCGTCAATAGGCTTTTTTGTCGGTGTGAGTATCTACTGTCCTTGTCGCTTGTTCTAACAGTTCTTAAATTTATAACCGTTACTTACTAATAACCGGTTATTTTTTTTTTTAGTTATTATGTCTGATGGGAATCTTATGCTTCTCACTTAACATCCCTAATATAACGAGACAGTACTGAGTTACTTTCAGAATATTAGCATGTAGAGATAATAATTTTATATTATCAATATAATCAACACAGACTTTTCATTTTAGGGACCGGCATTGCGTCTTTGGTATGGAGCATTATACAAGTATATAGGTTCCAGTGGTAAAACAGTTGCATTGAAGAAGGTGTTTATTGACCAAATTTTGTTTGCACCTATATTCTTATGTGGAATCCTGAGTGCAGTAGCAGCTATGCAGGGCAAGGATTGGACTAGTATAAAAAGTGATTTAGAAACTAATTACTTAGATGTCTTAAAAACAAATTACTGTCTCTGGCCATGGGTACAGATAGTAAATTTTTATTATATTCCCCTCCAATACCAAGTTTTAGTAGTCCAGGTAGTTGCATTATTCTGGAATACATATTTGTCTTGGAAAACAAACAGAAATACAGAAAAAATTGCAATACAAAAATAAGTACCTACCCATTCATAGTCATATCAGTTTTAAATTGGGAAATGTGTGCAAAGTGGAAAAAACATTTATTATTCTGATAATTCAGATCTGATCAGCTTGATAATTATGTTATACATATTTAGTTTTCACACAAGAGTAACCTTTTGAACATCATTATTATATTCTCTGGATTTAAAAGAAAATGTCTGTATATCTACAGCCAACCATTGTGCTCAAAAGGTTAATGAAGTCCTAGATCTTTAAAATTGTAATTTTAAATTAATTGATTAAATTGATTATTGTCTGTAGTAAAAAGCAATATTCTTTTTATAATTACAAAATAAATATACTAAGTATAATTTATTGTTGAAATTTCACTTAGTTCCTAAGCAATACAACAAGTTCTTCTATTTTTCTTTCTTTAATCGCAACTGTGTCTCCATGGCAGATTAATTGACTGTTGCTTAAATTGTTAGTAGCTAAAAGATTGAGACATTTGGTTAGTAAACATCGAATGTGGATACACATTCATCAATTTTATACCTTAGTATACCTAGACAATCACATGGATGTATATGAAAAGCAAGGACATATTTATGTATGTACATATATACATTATAATTTACATCAGACACTATCATATTTAATATTATTTGGGACATAAATTGGGACAACCATTTAATTTGTATTAGTTTATTAGAAAAGTAAGTTAATACAGAGTGAAAATTGATTGGGAGAGGGATTTGGAGGGTGGAAAGTTTTTTATACAGGTTGAAGGACTGGGAGTTTAGGGAACAGTAGAATAAAATGTAGTCTATGGATCCCTCATCAAGACCGCATTCGTACAGCGAGCTGTCGCGCACACCGCCGCACATGGATCTTTTTGACGAATCCCTGATTAATGCAGTGGCCAAGTCTTAGTCTAAATAAGGATGAAAAACAGTGTGTCGGGGAAACCTAGGGTATTTGCAAAACCAAGGCTGGATATTTGCTTAGTATTGTTCTATTTATTAATACACCCCAAACTTATCATTATTTTCAAATGTCAATGTCATTAACATATTTGGATTGGCCTTAAATACCTCTGCTTAAGGAGAGATCTTCGGCATTCAGACCCTCAGGGATTTAGATGAATTACTTAACTTTCATGACTGAGTTCTTGATCTGGATTTTAAACAGATTTATTTTGCTCATTAGACTAGTATTTATTTATTTTACTAATCAGAAAGTGTATGATGGATGTGCTTGATCTTACAAAGTTTTGCTGCATACAAATTTCCATTAGGTAATTATTCTTCATGAGTTTTTTATTGTAATTTTGTCTATGGCAAGTGCGGATCCAGCTTTGGCGCTAGAAGGGGTCACATAATCGTGATCAAGTAAAGAACTTAGGGTGAATCCTATAACTCTGAGAAATACTAAATATAATGTTATATTGTTTTATTACTATTCTGGGCATTAAATTTTTCCATCTATCTGCTCAGCTACTTTAGCCTTAAGAAAGCTGTTGGTTGATTATGTCTACATCTACTCTTATATTTTGTAAAACAATAAGCGCAAATAGGGTCACTCGAACTCTTAGAGGGGTGGCTAGAAATACGCTACAGTGCCTCACCTTCCAGTGAAGGTGAGGCAGGGCTCCAGGTGTCTTTCCTTGTCCAGTAAGCATACTGGATACTGAAGCTTCAATAGGTAGGTACCTGTTTCGGATCCAGTGGGTGGAAACGCCCGGGTGTCGGCTTTGGGAGGATTAAGTGTGAGACACAGTGGAGGACACGGTGTCCTACAGGTAGCCGCTTGGGATAAGCACCTCCGCGTCTAGGATAACAGTACCTGCTTTTCTTTGGTGACTGGAAAATCATCAAATGACTTCTCCCGCCGAGGGTGAGGCGGGAGGGAGTGTCAGATTCTTACTGACTAAACCCCCCCCCCCCGTTCCTTCTGTTGCTCTGAGCCGAGGCCGCGGTGCGTAATTGCGCTTCCCCGCGACCCCGGCTATCGCAGAGTCTGCTTGCGACTTGTATTTATATAATTACTTTTCCCATTAATACCCGCGTCATTGTAATCTGTTAACATTAGGTATACGCGAAAGTTTAAAAGTTAGTAAAATTTACCACAATTGAAATGTGGCGGGAAGTGCCAGATGCGTATGTTCCCGTCTTATATAAAAGATAATGAAATATGAAGAACTGTGTGACAAAAAATATAAATAAAATCATTAGGTTCATTAGGCGGTCCACCTAAGTCATGTAACCAGCTCAGGGTGGGTCATGAGTCATGACCCCGTGAACCACTCCCTGGATCCGCTGTTGGTTTACGGTCAATGTTTATTCTGGTTTTAAAGTATAACAACATCTCCAAAAAGCGCCTGATTTTCACCTCACAAAAAAACTGCTGACTGCCGCAGTCGGGGCGCGAGGAGGAGGATAGCTCCCTCACGAGCTCCGCCTCCTCCTTTGCCAGCAACACTGCTTCGCATATATATAGAGGGTAAGGGTTCCCAATTAATTCCTCTCGCTCACACCATGACCTACTATGGCCAGACGCAAGAGGTCGCCGTGTCGGTGATGATGTTCCCCTAACAACAAACGAGGTTCCAATACTGTTTTTTTATACTACTACTTTAAACATTTGCTGAATCCGGTGGACCCCTGCAGCTATTTACTAACTTACTTTCAAAATGAAAAAAAGTAGGTAGGTATTTGTATATATAATTATGTCTATGGAAATCTGAGCTGATTTCAATCAATAATAAGTTTAAATATTTCAAACAATATAATAAATTGGTTTGATTAAGCTGTGAGTGGAGGTCATTTAAACTAGATTTTAAAACCAGTCTTAAAATCGTTTTCATCCAACAGTTGGATTCCTACTTTACTTTTTTTATATTCTAAGACTCACAAAACAAAGACTCCAACAACTGTAAAAAACAGAAAAAATACATATTTAATAAAAGCAAAAGAACCCCCATTTTTCCCACACATCGTAGAACCCTTTCCGGCTCTCATGGAACCCTGGATGAGCCTGGATCTTCACCTGGACAACTGGAAATTAATGCCCTAATTAATTATGTCAAGGGCGCGCTTTCAAACCTCAGTCAGTGTAGGTACTCCGAAAATGTCATGCCGCGGTAAGACGCTGCGAAAGGGAAAGGAAGATCATAACTCTATTTACCTCCCACAGCAGGCCAATATAAAATAATGAAAGATTATGAGATAATCTCGTCGACATACCGCGGTAATAATATTTACTTATAGAGTATTGTAACCCACCCACATTTAAAAAAAAATGCACCTATCACTAGCCACAAACTCGCTAAATATGGTGTCACTTAGTAGCAGCCTAGCGCAACTTAGAAGAAAAATAAAAATGTATGGGCTTGGCACGGCAAATAATGGCACACGGAAGTAGCCGGATATTGCCATCCCACTCCCTCAGTACAGTTCTCTTTCTTTCACTAATCCGTCGGCCATTTTGTTTGAAGTTTTGAACTTTGAATGTCGTTGCTTTTGTAAGTTTATGTTGTTATTTTCATAATTTCATAAATTTACGTATAATTTGTTTAGTTAATTAGTGGTTAGTGATACGGCTGTGACTAGTTACGTGTTCAAGTAAAATGCCACCAAAAAAACGGTTTCTAACTTGAGAAATCTGCGGAGGACGATCCGGTCGTAAAAATGGCGAGAAAAGGATGTTTATGGTGAAATTTCCTTTGGATGAGGACCGGTAAGCATTAAATGATATAATTTTATTTAATTCTAAGTATAAAAGGCTACAAATACATGTAAATTGATTTTCATGTACTTATTGTGTACTAGTGATGTACCTCAAGTATCGATAGTCACAGACTTATGTGTGGGCTAAACTCTAAAGATCCCTTGATTTATTTATTCTTTCGTGATTTACTTTCCAGACCACACCAAAGAAGTAATGATGTTATTAGATGTTGTTAAACAAAGTTGTGACACGACAAACCCAGTAGATTTTAAGAAATTAATGATTAAACGTAGATAAAAATGTATGTATACTGTATTCGTAAAATTTATGCATTTCTTATATAAGGAACGCCAGCTGTTTACACAATTTAGAGTTATTCATGTCAGGGACTGTCCATTTTGAATTTTTCCATTTTTCAGGTGCCGGCAGTGGGTGAAAGTTGTTGGCAAAGAAGATTTAGTGTATGTGCCCATAGAACCAATTTACTGAACCAATATATGTATTAAGTTTTAGAGTCCACTTAATTTAAATAATTTTAGTTAAGGACCTAACCGGGACCGAAAATATATTTTTTAGTTTTTAATTTATCACAATGTTTTATTTCAATTCCGAACTTTATCTTAAAGATCGAAACTAAAAATTAAATGACCTCGATTTCTACCGTATAAATATTATCGATATCGATACTAAACCTAGTATACAGCTACCACAGAACTATTTGGTCTTTTAGGTTGGTACTATTGATTTTGACGGCTGACATCTTTTATTTATTGCAATGTAGGTATTAAAGTGCCGTGTAAATTGATTCCACTGGCTTGTATGGGAGTCCCGTCTCTTAAACGTAGTGGTTACATACTCTTTGCTTAGTAGTGGAACAAGCAATCGTGAGTAGTATAAAAATTGTATTGTATTTAATTTTATAGTCAATGATCAGAAGCACATTTGACAAGAAAAAAGACGAAAGACGAAGAGTAAATTGTCCTTCACTGTTAAACAGTGTACTGTTCTCATGAAGTAGCTATCAGGCTTTAGGTATTATTTCTGCAAGGTAATATGACATGTACGTCATGCATGACAGCATGACCGATTTGGCAATGTTTACGTTTTAGTTCTGTCATTTTTAAGTCATCATTAACTTTTTGTCTAACATTCAACAAATTGTCATTTGTCATTATAGGCTTTGATTGTAGAGGTAGGTGATGATTACTTTTTATATTATTATTTATTATCTTATCCTCAATGTAAATTGCTGAGTTGTTGCTACTTCATGCTACATAACCCAGTCAGTAAATCAATATAAATTAGTAGCAGTCTGTAAAAATATAACATTCAATCGATGTCGTTTTGTGGAAGTGGGCAAAGATATCCGAGGTTCACAGTTCACGTGTTCGCAAAATAATCAGACTATTGAAATATTATAATCTCCTTTCGCGTTTCAGTGCATATTGTTATAAAGTGCCTGTCTGAGTTTACTCATATTAGTGTTAAGTGTTTCTTGTGATAGCAGGTGAGAAGCGGGATAGCTCTGTGCGTATTCTAAAAGAAAGCTAGGCCGGCCGGCACAAATATTATTG